GGGGCGGATTTAATGACTGGAATTAGATAAATCAACTCTTAGGTGATGTTTCTTTCCCCTTTTCTCTCTTTTCCTTTACCTTACAATTGCTTGGAAGTGGTGGCAGAGTTGGGAGCAAAGTAAGAAGCTTGGGGGAAGAAGTCAGAAGGTTCCTTTCTCTCTTCATAGCAGTAAAGAGGGAAGGAACAGAGGAAATCAAATGAAAAACCATCCTTCCGAGACGCTGGCCTAATAAAACCACAGTCCAGAAATTGAGAGCAACAGACAGTGGCGTTTAAAAGGGGTGCTCTAATTTCTAGGAAAGCAGGCACTGAGAGCACCTCTTAAAAGGAGAAAAAAAGAAAACTTCATCTGCAGGCACATTCCCTGTGCTTTGCTCCCAGGTCCTCACCAAGGAGGGTTGACCAAGTGTGGCATTCGTCCTTCAGCCGTGGGTACGGTTGGAAGTGCCCACAAAGCTTGCAGGAGTCAGATATGGAGACCCCTTTTCCTTCTAAATAATTCTACACTGGCATCCATATCTTCTCTCCCCTCTGACTTTTAAATCTTAGGTTTTAGTGAGAATTTGGGGGTGTGAGTACTCTTTTTAGCGTTGATATTCTTGATCAGTACCATAGAAAGTTAGACACATTGTGCAGACTTTAAAATGTAAAGATAGAAGGGCATTCCATTCTGGGAATAGCTCTAAACCTTGGTCTTGAAACAGTTCCAGGCTCACTGTGGATGTTGTCTTATGGCCATATCTCAGTGCATAGGGAGACACATTTCTGAGAAGTGGGACTGCATTCTTACCTCTAAAGGATGTCTGTCGCCCTTGGGCCACCTTGCCCTCCTGTCTGGTTCTGTCATTTTTACCCACAGTGAGTGCCCATTTCCTTGATCCTGGTACTGAGCTCACTTTCAGGCACCCAGTCTCCTTTATGACCATGTGGACATGGGTGTGGGTAGAAGTAGGTACACATGAATGAGGGTCCCTTCCTAAGGAAGAGCTTCTCTGGGCTTTGTCCTGGGTCTGGGGACACAGGACTGAGGCAGGAGAGGGGAGTCTGGGTGGAGAGGCCTGTAAGTGGGTGATCCGCTGCAATTGAGTGCTAGGCAGGAAGCAGGTCAGGACTGGAGTCGGCAGGAGCCCTGGGGAGGGCGGGAATTGTACCAGGAGGTGGTGTTTGAGCTCTGGAAGGCTGCATAAGGAGGCATTCCAGACACAGGGCCTACCTGGGCAGGGCCAGGGTTCTTGAAAAGGCAAGTTGGGCACACTTCTGTGTGCCCTTGCTGGGGAGGCTGGCAAGGTAGGAGCACTGATGAGGAGCTTGGAAGTGCACAGATTGGCACCCACGGAGACCACTGTGGAGGCTGCTGCCTCGTCCTGCAGAGACAGACAGGATAAGAGCCCTAAGGGGGGTGGTCTGATTTGGAAGTGGGTGTTTTTTGGAGTGTGGGTGGGAGGGATAGGATTTGGAGACCTGTTAGCTCCAGAGGATGAGGAAGGATGGACCAAGGAAAACGCTGACGTTTCCATTTGGGGAAACCACTTAGGGAGGGAAATACACTGAGAAAGACTAGGTTGTGAAGAAAGACATGGAATTTCGTTGGGACTTACTGAGTTTGAAGTGACATCTAGGTAGAGCTGTCTAGCTGGCAGCTGGAAATACAGGAGCATGGGTGTGTGTGTGTGAGAGAGAGAGAGAGGGAGAGAGTTTCTTTATAAAAACCCAATCCTAGGACCTCCTGAAGATGTCACTCAAACAAATGCACTAGGCTCGCCCCAGGGCTAGTGCTGTTCCTCCCTTGTCTGGGGCCTGTGTGCATTTGAGAAGAGCCAGGCAGCACCAAAGGTAAATCCTGGTACCTCCGACCTCAGTCCATTCCCCAGAGGAAGCCATTGCCAGCAGATTTTGATGTACTCTTCCAGAAATTTGTCTGGCACACCCAGACATCGGAAGTCTGTACGTCCCTAGGAACGGTGAGCCAGAAGCGAGCAGAAACTGTACACACTGTCAGGCATGCAGTAACTTCCCGAACGTCCTGTAGTGGGGGTGGGTCCCTCCATGTCCCCGGGGGTCAGTGCTGCCCCCAAACCAACTGCTCGCTGTTCTCTGGCTGCTGCTGTGTAACTGTTTCGTCTGCAATGCTGGGTTGTTAGAGTAACCCAAGTTCATTCTTATTTATTTATTTATTTATTTTTAATTGTTTTATATATCTTTATTGATTTCAGAGAGAGGAAGGGAGAAGGAGAGGGAAAGAAACATCAATGATGAGAGTTGTCATTGATTGGCTGCCTCCTGCACCCCCCTGCTGGGGATCGAGCCCCGCAACCCCGGACATGTGCCCTGACCGGGATTCAAACCTTGATCTCCTGGGTCTTAGGTCAATGCTCAACAGCTGAGCCACGCCCGGCCGGCAGTTCTTTCTCCTTTTAGTGTTAGTTTTCTTTAATGAATATTTTTCCTTATTATAAAGACCTTATAAAAATATACAGTGGTAGTTAACATATATGCATTTTTAAAAGGTAGCCTATTATCAAATGTGTGTATTTTTTAAAGCACCTCCCTGCCCCCGTTCACTTACCAAATTTAATCACTGAACAGTTATGGTATAGAGACACTGTTCTGGGAGCGTGGGCAGGGGGATACACACACACACACACACACACACACACTTTTCATGTGGGGAAATATAAAAAAGGTGACAAATGGCCTATAATCTCTCCAGACAGACCATCATCCCTGTTAGAAAAGCAGGCAAACACACACGGATAGTTATGAAAAGCTAGAATTGTACCCAGTGATGGACTAACTCGTTCAAGTTCCCAGCTCTCCTCGTTCCTGTCCCTGTGGTGATCCATCAAGACTTCTTGGACTTTCGTATTCTGTGGAGTCATTTTGGCATTTTTATTAAGTTCTGTATGTGCCCATTTTAGCTCAGAATGAGTTGTAGCATTAAAATTAAGGTAGAAATCTAGGCTGTAAAGTCATCTGCTGAGTTACAATGCGCTTCGCCCTGCCCATATTAACTCCTCTGCTTTTTCCCAGTCTGCATGAAGAAATCAGTGATTTTTATGAATACATGTCTCCGAGGCCAGAGGAGGAGAAGATGCGGATGGAGGTGGTGAGCAGGATCGAGAGCGTCATTAAGGAGCTCTGGCCCAGCGCTGACGTGAGTGCCTGTCTGGCGGGGCGTGGGGCGGGCAGCGTGGGTCAGTGTCTCGTGCAAGTCCTCATGGGAAGCTGTCTGTGCATCTACAGAGTTAGGGTCTAATAAAATTTTGAAGGCCAACAATTTTCTTCAGCCTTTAGAATTGGGCTTCTGAATTACTAGCATTGAATTGGCTGCCTACTTAAAACATTGCCTGCAGTGCTGATGAGCATGGGTGAGGCGACCGGGAAGCACTGGTGTGAGGAGGAGACACGCCTCGCCGTCGTAGTGTCTTATCCGAGGTGCCGTGTCAGTGTGATTCTGTTCCAACCTGCCAGGATAAACACTGTGTCATTGTTTATAGCGAAATGAAGATGGCGGGTAGGGATGGCTCATGTCATCTGAAGTTCATTTTCTTAGGCTGATGCAGGCGTCTGCTCCCCTCCCCAAAAGGCTGTTTTCTGACCACCCCTGTCTCCCATAGAGCCCCCAGCCAGTGAACACAGCCATGCCTGAGGTTGCTTCTTGTTTATTTGTGGTTCTTGTTACTACACTGAATCAGCGCTGCACTATTTAGGGCTCCTTTGAGGGTCTTTTGTACAATTTCATGCATCGTAAGAGCACGTTAGAATCCATTGCTGTGTGTTATATGACTTTTTTTTTAAGACTCTGTCATGGGGTGGCCAAAGGGGAGCCAGGAAAGTTTTTTGGTTTTTTTTGTCCAATTGGTAAAACAAAAACACTTCAAATGAGATACTGTAGGTAACGGGAAGAGTCATACTTTGCTGAACAGCTACTGTGTGCCACATTGCTTCTCCTACCGATCTAAATCAGTGCCTCGCCCGACCAGGCGTGGCTCAGCGGTTGAGCGTTGACCTAGGATCCAGGCTGATGATCAGGGTTCGATTCCCGGTCAGGGCACATGCCTGGGTTGAGGGCTTGATCAATGACTCATCATTGATGTTTCTATCTCTGTCTCTCCCTCTTCTTTCCTCTCTCTGAAATCAATAAAAGATATATTTTAAATAAATAAATAAATAAATAAATAAATAAATAAATCAGTGCCTCTCAGCTGGTGGGTATTTGCCCCCCAGGAGGCATTTGACAGTTTTCATTATCATGACTGGTGAGGTGCTTCTGGCAGACGGTCGGTACAGGCCAAGGGTGTTGCTAAACACCCCACAATGCACAGGACAGCTCCCCCTACTGAGAATGATTTGCCCCAAGTGTCAGTAGTGCTGAGATGGCAAAGCCCTGATCTAAGCTCCTCCTCCTCCTCCTCCT